GCTTTCCTGTATGAAGTTTTGTGTGGTTGTCAATGATATCAAGGATGGACATTCATTTTCTATAAAAGCAGTCTTCCATAAATATACTTATGATTGTCATAATCAAATATACTGCAAAGATTGGAAACAATTATGTAGTATTACTTTTTTTTACCAAATGATTTCTCAAAGAAGGCCCAAGGCGAAGGTTCTTTAATTACAAGGGCTCATATTACAGCACTGGATTTAAAATTGGTTAAACTTTTATTGTTAAGTCCCTTCTTGGTACAGTATGTTGTGATTAATAGGTCCTACAGTATAATGAAGCTGTGCGAAGATTCAAATGTCAGCTTAAATAAAATATTTCATTGCAAAGTCTGAGTCCTATGATCTCTCTTCTCTCAAAAAATAGAAATCATGGGAGAAAACAAGCAAATGACAGCAGTTAGAATCAGTATCTTTCTCATCCAAGTACTGTGAAAATAGGTTATGTTGAGAAAAAAGTCTTATAAATAAAGAAACTGCACCAAATTCTCAATGCCATCTTTGTTGAAATGTAACAGCTTGTGGCATAGTTATTTAAAGTACGAATGGTTTAAATAAAGAAAACATCTAAGAAAAATCTAAGAACATTTATCATTGGAAATGCTGCAAGCGATTTGACCATCATGCTCCAGGAGCATAATTCCCTCAATTAGCTGAACCAAGCATATTGGGGGGGGATGACAGCAATTATAGTTGGTAGCAAGTCTTCAGTGTTTCTAAAACTGCCCTTAGGGGCTTTTCTCAGTGATCCTTTCAGTTAGCCTGGTTATGCTGTTTGCATTGGAAGTCTTCAGAGATATTTAGCATTGTTTGTAACTTTGCCAGATGCTTGCTTTTCAAACCAGTCAGCAGAAAACCAAGTGCAGACGATGTACAGTATAAGAGCACTGTAATCCGGAATCCATCCATCACTTGGCGGATGGTAATGGTGTCTCTGGAGAACGGCAAATCACCTTTAATCTCTTTATCTCCCTGTGCAGTTACCCCTTGTCTAATGTCCTCACTGATCGCATACAGCTCAGACCATTCTCCTGTCTAGAAAAAGCAGTTAACTTATCATTGATGAAAATGAATGCTTTGGTTTTTACGACGGCATGCCTAAGTGTAGTAAGATGTAAGATGTGCCATGCCTTAGAGTAGCGTAATGATGCAGATGTATCGTTAAGTAACTTGTACTTGAAAAGTGATCCATTTTCGCTGGAAGGAGACAACATGTCATGACCCTCATAAACTTTGCAGGGGCATGTTTAACCTATTGAAACACAGCTGATTTAAGATATCCTTTTTACTATTATTATTTCTGCAAGTGCACACAGAACAGATGCTATGAAAATCACTAGAAACGTAAAACCTGTCTTAATAAGACACAGCTCTTACCATAAGGCACCTTTTCCTAGCTGAATGTGAAGCATGGTTTAAGAAAATTTATGCCATTCATAGTGACCACTGATTATTAAGGAATGAACATACAGTAAATTAAAAATTGTAAACTACTGTATGTGAAAGTACTTTTAAAACTGAGAACAGAAGAGGATTGTGGGGGTATGGAATAAACTACCCAGACAGGTTGGTTAAGCTAGCTTCTTTGGAGAAATGAGTGGAAGAAATCCTTGCATCAGTCAGCTAATAACTGCCAAATGGACTACAGTAGATGGGCCGAATGGCCTATTCACATTTGCAACTTTACATACTATATGTTCTTAAGTGTGGCACAAAAGGTCCCATACGTCCTATATAGCCCCTATTTCTGAAGTCCCCCTGACTTGTACTGCTTTCGGCAAAACTATTCAAGTAATGTAATCAAAAACACAGTTCAGTTTTTCATTCTGCAGAGTTAAAACTACTGTATATTGAATATGAATGCAAGGTATTTGTCCAGTCATATTTGAAACATATTTGTTTTGACGTGTACTGTCAAATATGGTTTACATGCTCTCTGCCTCCACCAGTGACTATTCAACCTCCCCCTCATCCTCCTCTTCCTGGAGCTCTTTCTAAGCAATTGTTCTCTGGGGATTAAAAACAAACAGTAAAGATCAACCAAAACATTCTGTTGTAAAATAGACAACTCAAGCAGAAAGGACATTAAAGGAATAAGCATAATTTTCCATAAATTTGCCTTGAAGATCACCAGCAAAATCAAGTTGCCACTTAAAATCCAGTTTTACAGTCATGAAAAAGGCCTCACATGCTAGAAACAAGCAAAAAAAAAACTGAAGTTGAAAGATTCATAAGACCAACCCTGTAGGATGTTTCAAACTTAGTCTATATCTGGTGAGGATGTCTTCTCGTGACGAAACTAGTAGCATATGTGTTTCTTTAACACTGGCCAGACGATGTTTCCTTTCAGCCTCTTACTAATCCTTGTTCCTTGTTCATTGATAATGGTGACTTTTCACTGTTTCAAGGAATGTCTTCATGATCAGCAAAGCATGCACAACTGTCTCGTGTACTGGTGTTCCAGATTTTTCTCAGTTGTTACTGTATTCTATTTCAATTTAATCTAATAAGCATCTGATTTTGATCTTTACTGCATATTCTTTATATTCTGTCATTTATCCAGAAGGTGGAATTCTATTGTCTGTGTCTTTGTCTGCAGTGAGCTTTAGTAATAAATCCTAAAACATAAGAGATTAAATGTGCCTGCCGAGCACGGTGAATGACATAGGGCTGATTTAATGCTCAATTTAATCATCTGTGATGACAGTTAAGCTCTAAAACTGTATAAGGCAAACACAACATGCTCCCTTATGTACAATATTATTCTTATTTGTTTCACAGTCATTTTAATTTCATTTTCTCTGTTCTCAAACATAAAGTCATGTTTTCAAAAAATTCTTAAATACTTTCTTCAATAGAGGGAAATAAAGTATAATACAAAAAGTCTGGTGCTAATGGTTTTGGTCTAGTCATGACCTATTTAATGGAATACTGTTAAATTCCATAATTTCCAAATACAAGGAATGTGGTCAATTTGTTTATAATAATTAGTTATTTAATTTTATTTTATAATTATATTGTAAATATTATAATAGTTATATGCATATGTACTTTAAATATTTTATTTAGAATATTTCTGTGCCCTGGCTGAATAGGCAGCTCAGTGAAATTCTTTGGTCATCTATTGAAGAGAGGCTTACTGTGAGTCAATATCCTGTTTGTTAAATAGAGCAGGTTTGACCTGGAGATAAAGGGCATGTGACAACACCAAAAGGCAGAGCAGGACACAAATCTTGCTTCTGGAATCTTGGCCCCATGCATCCTACAGGACCTGACTCACTCAGCAAGCTGGTGTTTATACAGTACCAAGGGCTCAGAAGTGTTGTACGGAAACAGAACCTGCTGTGTGGGGCTTTCATCTCAAACAATTTATACGAGTATGTTAGATTTCCTTTAGTACGGAAAATAAAGTTTTAAAACGTGATAGAATAATTTTTTCACACCAGGTTCCCTTATTTTTACATGAAGAATACCTGGCCTAGTCACAGTTAGCTCAACAAGAGCATGCACACAGAATGGGATCCTCACAGCGCAAAGCAGAGCAAAGCAGACCCCAGGGGATGTTCCTCCTCTCCTCCTGCAAAGCAACTGCAGTGCAGCAGGGTTTCCTGGCAGCGGTGGACACTGACACTGCTCACCTGCGGGTGCTTGATTTGATTAAGACCCAGAGATAACAGCAGGTCAGCGTGTGACTTTGATCCCAGATTGCAACAGAAATTCTTAGGTGACTTTTACGAAGTGGAGACTAGCATTATCATGTTAAAAGATTAAGGGATTACATTGATGCTGGTGCTGCTGTAACAATATGTGGAGCACAAGACAAAATGCATTGCAGTGAAGTTCCCACTGGTGACATCAAGCCACCACCTACACCATTATGCTTGTTCCCTTACACAGATCCAAAACCAGAGTATTATTATTAGTTTGCTTAGCAGATTTTGTTACATGGAAATGTTGACTTATGACTGTACCATTGCTTGGTCACTCCTCACTGTATTCAGGGACTGGGCCATCAGTGATGTATGATTGTATTAGAGGCTGTAGTTTCTGCTGTGTAAAAAGAATGCCTCTGATTTTTTTCTCCAAATCCTTTTACGGTCTCTGGCTGTCTGACTCTGGGTTAACCTGCGTACCTCAGCCATTCCTAGTATCATGCTCAAACGGGTGAAAGTGTTGCAGTGGGCAGAAGAGGAGAAAGTATTCCATATAAGTCAAAAGAATTAAGGATTCTGAGACGTTGCACTGCTTGTCAATCGGAAATACTGAAACCTATGCATGACTTCTTTTAAGCATTGATTTAAAAGCTCAGCAGAAATGTTTACATCTAACTGATCTCAAGCTGAACAGGAATTTCCACAGAAAATGCACAAACGTAACAAAAGTGAGAACGAAAAAAAATGTACTTCTAGATGGCTAAACTTTGCTTTTATTGATTAAAAGGACTGATTAATTTTGGGGTGAGCCAGCTGATAAGATACATATTTCATTTTGCAGGTTATGACGATAAAGAACATTTAGTATTCAATAGTCTTCTCAAAATAGCTGTTTTCTTCATCTCACTGCACTCATCAATGTACAAAATCCATAAGCTCAAGCACAGCCTTAAATTCACTGCTGGGGAGCAGCACTGTGGGCCATGAATTACCTGGGAAGACACAATAACATGAACTGGACTCAAGTGTCCAGTTCTGATGTGCCAATTCGATGGCTTCAGAGTAGCTAGTGGAACCAGTGTATATTTTCTATATTTCCTGTTTTTTGTCTGTTTCTTTTGTTATTGCTTTTTTGACATTAGTTTAACCTGTCTGAGCAGGTGCCACTCATACCCTCTATGTCCCTAATGATTACCTTTCTGAAAGGGTTAGCGTGCTGTACTTAGACGTCAATGTTGCATTCTAACTGTACTTCTGTATTTTAGCAAGTTGGATCTTTTGTGAGTTAAATGTTTGATTGCTGTTGTGTTTGTGTCTTCACAGAAAATGATGCGCTCCTCCGTGTTCCACATGTTCATTCTCAGTATGGTGGCTGTGGATGTGATTGTTGCAGCCAGTAACTACTATAAAGGAGAGAATCATCGGCGGTATTATGATGAGTTCTATCTGGCTGAGGTAAGAGTGAGGTAAAAGTATTTCAAACCTACTAGGAATAATAGAAATGGCTACAGCCCATATCTGTTTTTGTGTGTCTCCAAACTCCACATTCACATTCTCTAACCAATAGTGAGTATTCCTAAACTGGTTCTGATCATGGCCATTAAAAAGACATTTAAAGAACCCATTCTTTGTGCAGTGTACAAATTATATTAAGAAAGAAATTAAAAGAATTCAGCATTACCAACATGTTTTTAAGCCACATGTAATTTTGATTTGCAAGTACAGCCTAATTGCTGTAGGTTTAATTAAAGAAATTTAAATATTTTTTAATTGCCTTATTTTAAAATTGTTGTTTCATGTCTGTTTACAAGCTACTCGATTTTAATATTCCTTTACAAAACACCTCCCTGTATGATGATTCGTGTGTGTCCATTTGAGTCTAACTGTGTTATGGCCAATTAAAGTATACCTTTCACAGTAGGGTTTATTTAAATTTGCTACTTACTGTAGCATTAATGTAAAAAAAATGTAATGATTCTACATGTGAAAATGTGGCCTTAATCTCGGGCATAAATTTAAAGGGTTCCTTGTTTTACCTGATAATGAACCTTTTACCCAAGAATAAGATAAGGGTGTAATGTGTTACATCTTGAGTCCTGGAAGTTTCAGAGGAAAAATGAAAGATGACATTGTTGCAACTGTGGGAGGGGCCATGTGATTCTATGTAATCCAAAGGTGAAAAGGTACAGATGGCTGGATACGTTTATTTTATTTGTATTAAAGTTTTTAATGGAACCACAAATAAGAAAGAACTTCAATGCAGTTTTATAAATAACATTGTCATTTCTTGTATCCAAATGTTTCATTTTACAGCAGCAATCTAAAAACAGTTAATTGCAGTTATAGGAAATTACAGTATTACTCTATTTTTAATGTTTACATTATACAGTTGTACACTCAATTTCATATTTAATTTATTTAGTTTTTAGTGTACGTTCTTACAGAAAACATACATAAATAGAAGTCAAATGGCTATTAACATCATTTATTATATGTTTTTACCTCTATATAAAAATGCAGTTTACAAAAGAAAAAAGAGGAAAATACTGTATGCAGGAACGATAGGAATGCAGTTCTCTTTAAAGTACACATTTTTTCTTGTTATTTTCTAAATCATACCTTATACAGTGTGTGATGTTAAGAAACAGGGATTACTTTTGATTAACATCACTGAAGGCACAGATAACCCACATGATCAGATTTCCATATTTAAAATCATTCTATCATTTGCATTTTTCCCCTTGCTGTTCCCATAATTTTCTGGTTGCAAAATCAGTATTCTGCTTGTGCACAAGGCACAAAGACAGCTAGAAGTCTGGAGACTCCTTGCCTATTTGCAGCTGAATTCAGAAGATAAGCTGTGTAAGCAATCGTGAATTATTTGCAAAGTGTTCAGGATCCATATCATATTTTATTAATTTATTTAGTTATTCATTTAAATTTGCAAATATGTCAGAGGGAGATAAAATGTTTTTTTCTAGATCTTACTCCCAAATAAAATTAAAATTTAGCATTTCTGTGTTCTTTTTCAGTCAGTCTTTTATAGATATACAGTATATATTCATCCCAATCCATTGTGTTACAAATCGTTCCTTTAAGTTGCAATTTATCTTTAAAAATATATCTATTCAGTTGTCTGTGTACTATTGCAGATTCTATTACAGGTAAAATAATATCATGTGTTTTACCACATGGATATGAATGTGAATATTATATTAATATTTTTGCTTCCAAAAAATTTCAAAGCAAATTTAAGCACAACTCAGCACAACAAATCAAAAAACAATTTTTGATTTGTAAAAGGTTTCTTTGAAGCCACTAAGGGGTATCGCTATCCTTGGATAGAAAAGAACATGACGCTTTGTCTTCTGCTGTTTTTTCCTGCAGGTAGCCTTCACTGTTCTGTTTGATTTAGAGGCTCTGCTGAAGATCTGGTGTTTGGGGTTCACAGGCTACATCAGCTCTTCCCTTCACAAATTTGAGTCGCTGTTGGTTGTGGGCACAACACTGCATATCTATCCTGATCTGTATCACTCACAGTTCACCTACTTTCAGGTAATAATATCTGCAGAGTCTACCATCACAGCAGCAGGTGAAATATCTTTTTTCATAGACATTATATGCCCAGAATATGGGTGTATTCTGAGAACTGTAATACTGTAATAAAATACTGCTCCCCAGAATTTCAGCAACTTATGTTATTGTATTTAAAGTCCTTAAATACTTTTATTATTTTTAATTTGAAACATTCCCCAATCCAATTTTAATCACGCATATTTCTATGTAAATACTGATCATAGAAGGACCCCTTTAAAAAAAGGTGAAAATGCTCTTATTTCTGAGGAACCTGATCTATCTTGATGGAAAAGCACAGCAGATACATTAATTACTCTAAAGCAATAGTAATCCTTGATTCCTTGAACCACATTTAAATGTATCCTTGTATATAATGTCTCCTAAATCATCATGGTCATTATTAAATTCTTATATCTGTTACACTTGTTTTCATTTTTTTTTAAACTTTTTTTTAAGGTGAACCAGAAGAAAATACTGCCTATTTCCCAAACATGGATTTCTTTGTTTACAAGAAATGAATGAAAAAGAAATAAATGAAAGAGTTCACTTTCAGCTTCTCATATTATCGTCAAGAAACTATGGACATGTTGCGGGCATAGTCACTGATAAGTAATTTAGGCTAGTTTAGTCCCACCAGAAGATAGGAAAGCAAAAGTGTAGTTTGCAGTTTGCTCTGAGGTACAGTACATTGCAGAACAGCTGTGAGATTTTATCTTCTGTCTCCTGCTGCTGCAAAAGCCAGATACTGTATCTGTCTGGGTGAAACAGCGCAATGGTTCTTGGATAGGAGGTTATGTCTATGATGCTTCATTGTTGTGTTTGATTTTTGTCTTGTAAGAAAATGTGTTATGAATAAATGTTCAGCTGTTTCAAGTTAGGTAGTTGATTTTGTGTCTTTTTCGTGAAATGTAGATGAAAAGCCCAAGGGTTCATTTAAGGGCATATCTTTGATGTAATAGTTAGTTCTAAAGGAAATGGATTACTTTATTTAAGAGGGTGAGGGCTGAAATGACATACAGTAAATCATTTTGTAACAGAAAAAATTGAAAGTTTTTTTTGGGCGGGTTTGTTTTTCTTTTCGGGCCCCTTTTTTTTTTTGTTACCTTGTTCGGGTTTTCCCAAGGATTAAAAAAAATCGCAGAGAATTAATATTTAACAGACTGCTGTTACTGTATGTTGGTATTAAGTATACAGTTATCTGGAGATTCTAGGAATTTCCTAGGTTTTGTTTTTGAAAATGATACTAGGCCAGTCTTTGGTTTTAAAACAATCTCATAATATCATAGGCAGTGCTGGGCTAAAGGTTTGTAAAGTGCTGGTTTGCAGAATAAAAAGAAAACATACTAGAGGTAGTTGCCTACTATAATTTATCATCAATTTATCATCATATAGCAAATGAGGGAAAAAATTAGCATTATCGGCCTGATATTTTGATTAAAATATAATGACTAAGTTTAAAATGCTGTGTCTGTGTAATTATGAAAATAGTATCTAATCAATCTGCTATTGATTTACTTGTTTGCAAGATAAGATAGAAATTTATAGTCAAGCACTGACTCTAGCTGCCTTGCACTGTAAATATTTGTTTATTTTTACCACTTGCATATTCATTTTATTGGAAAATCTTATACTGATGTTTCCTCATCTATTTAATCAATCAAAGCGACATTTGAAGTATTTAATTGATCAGTGTGAAAAAATAATGTATTGTGTCTTTGATCGTGAGAAAATCTGGGTAAAAAAGCACTTTATCCATTGAGAGCTGACAGCAGAAGGAGTAGTAATCATGACAGCTGTTGCTAACAGGAGGCTATACTAATGGGTCATAATAGCAGAGAAGCGTCATTGATAAGGCAGCTTTTATTTTTCTTCCAGTGTGTGTGAATCAGGGTTAAAACATTATACAACCTGTTGAAAAAAAGGCAATAGCATTTTGCCATTGTTATACTGTATCCTTTATTCCTGCAAAGATACGATTTGATCCAAAATTTATACCAAAGTTATGCACAGTATGCGCTTCAGGCTCATTGTTCTAAAAATAATTTATCTCTTGCTGGATTATCTAAAATATAAGTGAACAACAAAGAAGCACAAATCTAACAGACACTGTCATCATCATTTTTTCCTTCCCTTTCTTCTTTAAAATTCATTTAAATTTGTAAAGTTCCTTTCTGACATGCCTACTTGAAGACAACATCAGAATGTATAGTCAATTCTTCTTTTTTGTTATATTTAATGTAAGATAAAATAGCAGCTGCTTGCTGCGATGAATGGAGTTATGACAAAAGAAGTCTGAATGTTAGTTAAACCATCTTACTGTAAATCAGTTTAAACTGCAGACATGGTATGACATTTTAACAACAACTGGTAACTAGTCTCACTATGAGTCTGATTTCTAAGCACAAAAACTGTCCTCACCACACCACTAGTCTAAGAGACTGAACTGGTCTGATCTACTTTGAGATTAGACTCCTCCTCCTATATTTTTTTATGTTTGATTACAGAAACCTAATTAAAAAACGATGCTTAAGATCCCTCTCTTGCTAACTTCTGGGAATACCTGCATACAGATTATAGCTTGTCTCTGTGCCACCCCCTGGTGGCTTTAGACTGACATGGACAGCTCAGAGAGGCAGCTGTTCCATTAGATAAGATCACTTTATTGGCCATATACAGTTTCTTGTATTAGGAATTTGTCTTTTTTCGCATATCCCAACTTGCTCATCATGAGACACACAGACAGGGAGAGAAGCTTTGGGTCAGAGCGCAGGATCAGCCATTTATACGGTGCCCCTGGAGCAGTTGGGGTTAAGGGCCTTGCACAGGGGCCCAACAGAGTAGGATTCCTCTGCCAGCCGCAGGATACGAGCCAGCAACCTTCCAGCCACAGGTGCAGATCCTTACCCACAGAGGCACCGCACCAGTTTATCAGCTGTAACAAAATGTGAAGCTCGCTTGTTCCACACTACCATATCAGTTTGCATACAGAAGTGCCTCCTGTTTTCAGTTTTAAAATGTATTTCCATGTAGTGTCCACTTGTGTTTTCTGGTACTTGTTTCACTCGTCAATTCTGAAGACATCTTCTGGGTTGACTTTAAAAATTTTGGACCAAGTCAAAACCATCAAAAGCAATCAAAGAATTTTTAAGAACCACTGCTATAACAACTTAATTAAGTGTTTAACACTTAATTATTAAAAGTTTAATTTTAATTTTATTAATTCCATGACCTTAAATGACCTTAAATCAAAACCCTAATATTGTTATTATTATATAATATATATTATAATATAATCTCTTTACACAAAATGTACTATGCAGTACATGTATTACAGTAGGTATTGTGGTTATTTTTTTAGGGAATTGCTTTTAACAGTTTTGTAAATGACTTTGCTTACCTAATCATTTTACAAGTTCTGTAGCATTTTCTGAAGCTAATGAGTCCCCAGCCACCTGATTCAATGTAGTTCTTTACCATTATGTACTGACTCATCATTTCTTCTACCTATTTTTGGGGGGGAATGTTCTGCATTATAATACAAAAATCCACTGGGCGTAAAGAGGTACAGTATGTTTTTCTCTATAGTTCCTGAAATTGAATTCTTGGAAGGAATTTACTGTTAATCTCACCAAATCAAATATTATTTGAATTTTTTAACTTGTTAATTTTTTCATTGTTCTGATAAGTTAAAAACAAACATTTTAAGTAGATCAAATATTTGAAAGTGTCATTTTCTAAAGGCTGAATTTGAAGGCACTATTATTTATCTTAAAAGAAGCCAAATTTATAGCCAGAAATTACAAATGATAAATTTGTCAGCCATTAGAACTATCATAGAATCAATTTCACCATTATCCAATTATCCATTATCAAGATCACCATTATCACGATGATCTAATTTCAAAACTACTGTAAACCTTTCTCAAATATTTTCTTTACTGTATACTGAAACGCTTGGCTTGGCAGTTAGTTTTTCTTCCTCACACGTCAAGTGTCCTTGGTTTGATTATGAACTGTGTCTCTTCTGTGTGGAGGTTGAATTTTCACCTTGTGTCTGCATGTGTTTTCTCTGGTTTCCTCCCATTTTCTGCATATATGCAGGCTGAAGTAATTGGTTGCTCTACATTGTTCCTGTGTATATTTATGTGTGTTGAGCCACCCTCATCTGAAATTAGGGGTTTTCATGAAAACATGAAAATAAGACAGATATACAGTAAACTGCAAGGGATTATATTCCTTCTATTAACCTGTCTTAAAGTGTCTAACAAATGCAATTAGTGAAATGTATACATGACCTATTATTGTTTAACAGTAACCCATACACTAAGTTTTATTTATTCCAGCATGTTACTGGGCAGGAATAGAAGCCTGAATACAGGCTGTTTTTTTAAATATGCTTGGCATTGTTAAACACACTAGAGAAGCATTAATTCATTGCAGTTTCATTCCAAAAGGTCAGACTTAGCCTATTGTCATCTAATTCAGTAAAAATGCCACACTAGAGACATCTTTCAGAACATGAAAGATTGTTAATCATAATAAGAATGCTTCCTAGTTGGGAAGCACAATTTGAAATGTGTCCAGAATTTTCAATGCACCTAAGGCAGTAATTAGCAGACAGACCACGTATCAGGAGCACAGACAAGTCAGGGATCAAGTGCAGAGCCATGCAGAAAATGAAACACTGTTGCATGGAAGATTGTGTCAAAGTAAGCTCTGAAAAGACATTTTTCTTGGGATTATAAACCTCATGCTGTGTCCTAGTTTAATGGCATCCTGTAAGATCTGAGAAGTGGAAAGTTCCATATAAGTAATGTCAAGACAGGTCAAGATCTAATAATATTAGGGGAAGAAATATTAGGACTTCCAGTGCAATTCCAATACTAAGTTAGATGTGATTTATAAAGGTTTAGATTTATTATTAAATTGTATTATTATTTATTGAAACTTGCAAATAAATATGATTGCGATTTACTTTTTAGATGTAGGTAATGGACTGTAATGTCGTCCAGGGCATGGGATCCCTGAGGGGCGGAGCTTCTTGATAACGACACTGTGTTGCTATGCGACCACAGCTGAAGGCAGTCTTTGCTTTGATAAGACCCAGCTGTGGGAGGTTTAAAAAGGGCAGGTTGGAAATTTTCCTGTTAGGAAAGCATGGCAGGACTTCAGACCTGAGCTAGCCTCAGTCAAGAGAGGTAGTAAAATCAAGAGTGTCCCATTTATGATACACTATAGTGAATGGTAGATTCCTGTCAGTACAGTGAAGTGAGGCAGAAGAACTAGCTGGGTGTGTGATGCTGGTGTGTAAATGTAACCGTCTGGTTACTCACGATGAAGGATGGGAGTGAGAGTGGCTATGCCAAAACAAAGAGAAAGAAAGATATTGCCAGAGAGCAGGCTCTGGAAGCAAGCAGGTGTGTGATGTGAGCGAGTTGAGTCGACATTTAAGTAAAAGCCACTTTTAGTTAGTAGTTAAACAGAAGGTTAGTGACTGCTAGTGATTGAAGGTTAGTGAGCAGCAAATGTTGCAGGTTGCAGATTTAACCCAGTGAGGGGGCAGTTGAGAGCAACAGTTCCAGAGGGAATAGGAAGAGGAATAAGAATAATGCACTATTGTCTATACCTCTGTGAGGGACAGCCATCTCGGAGGGGTTTTGGGATTTAGAGAAATCCATTGTATTTAAAGCAACAGCATGTTCTAAGGTAGAGAGAGAATAGGACAGTAGTCCTGTGACAGTGAGAATAACAATCTGGAAAGGACCCTGAGAGTTAAAGCAGACAACCTGTTATAGAAGGAGAAAGAACAAATCTGTCTGAGTAATGTAATGTTCACTGAGAAAGTGGCTTTTAAATGTGAGGGTGATATTGTTGCATTAAAGTGAGTAAGTGTGTGGGACAGAGAGTAGGGTGTGGTAGCGGAGCTCCCTCTCTCTCTGGTAATGCAGAAATCATGGAGGCAGAGAGAGAAAAAAAGGCTTATAGTAGCTGCTGACCTCTGGTGACGGATGAGATCAAATGAATAAGTGTGTGGGACAGAGAGTAGGGTGTAGTAGAAGTGTTCTCACTCTGGTAATGATGAAAAGGGCTCCTTTAGATGCTGACCTCCGTCGATAGAATGAAGTGCAGGGCTCCACTGAAGTATATGCATTGAGTGGGACAGCGTAGTCTGGGCAATGGATATGCTCCAGAAGCTGTGTGAATTAAGTGGGTTATGAGTAAAAGAGAACAAGGAGCAGAAGAGGCTCTGAGAGGGTGCAGGAGTCCAAGAGAAATTGCGACAGCTCTGTGGGAGCAGGGAGGCTTCTAGACAGAACATGAAATATCCAGGTGCAGGGACGACCCACGATGAGTCACAGTCTTGGTTGTTGCCATGTCAGCCCACCAATAAGAAAGCAGTAGAACATTTTCATCCAAATAGGATAGACTGAGTCAAGGGTCTTCCACTGTTTCTTCCAGAAAGGAAGAGAGAATCGGAGGTGAGGTACTGTACATTGAGCCTGGCTCTCCACAAGCGAAGGGCTCAGTAGTACGGTATGAGTGAACCTCAAGATGATCTTGGAGGAGGTAATTGAAAGGACCAAGGCATGAGTAAGAGACTTGTGAGTAGGAGTAAGAGTGTTCTATGAGAACCAATGCGAGAGACAACATGACACTGAGAGAAATGTCAGAAGTGTGACACTCTGAACTTTAGAATCCGCCAGGGCTCAGAGAGTTGAAAGTAGACAAGCTGAAACAGAGTGAGCGTCTGTGCTTAATGTCCTAGTCGCTCCAACAAAGGGTTTGAGTGAGAGCACCACTCTCAGAGGAGAGTGTGTATAAGCCGGGGAAAATATAAAACTATGACAAACGTTAGAGCACAAAGTTCCACAGCAGCCTGTGGATATTGTCTGTTTCTCACCCAAAGTGAAATCTGTGACCTGTGATCACAGTAATTATTCCTAGCATTATTGTCATCATTAACATCACTTTTTTTAACATCACTTACAGTACAAGCCTGGAATCCAGATCTTTTATATTTAAATGTTGCTCATTTGATATCAATTCTGTCTAGCACACCGGTACAGGAATCAGACAGATAAACCTAAGATTGAGTCAAAATGATTCAGAAATTGAGATTGATAGCATTATTTGTTCATGATTAAAATTTTGTTAATGGTTTGTCCATCAAAATTCTTTGTCTGCAAGGCCATATGGTCAGTAAAACCAATCTGAAAAGAGTACACACAGCTTTCATATTTTAAAGTTAAGGAAATCAGTGGTTCTTTTTATGACACTGATCAACTCAATGTTCAATTGTTCCAGGCTATGTTACATATACATTTGTTTACTTGCAAAGAACTGACATTGCCATGCACAGGAGAAGGGCTAGCTCTGCAGTACCATCACCATAATCATGTTTCCATAGTACTGTGTACCAAAATGCACATGGGCATCTATTTACTTACTGTATATCTTGGTATATAATATACAGTATTAGCAATATTGCATGAAGCATTGGCAAACAAATTTTGACAATGGGGATATACCTGTATTCACACAACTCTTTTTTGTTTTGTTTTTGTTTCTAATTCCCAACAGGTTCTGAGAGTAGTACGGCTGATTAAAATCTCCCCAGCTCTGGAAGACTTTGTGTACAAGATTTTTGGCCCTGGAAAAAAACTCGGCAGTTTGGTTGTGTTTACAGCCAGTCTCCTCATTGTGATGTCAGCCATCAGCCTGCAGATGTTCTGTTTTGTGGAAGAGTTGGACCGATTCACAACCTTTCCAAGGGTAAGTGCTGAGCAACCAGGTGTACAGTTCAATCATAGGTTCAGAATTTCAACATTAATTTCTACAATAGCTGTAGTAACAGAAAAACGACACTCGGCTCTTTAGGGAACTATTCTTCACCTTGTATGACAGTAGCATTCAGATGTTTGTTAATTCTAAGGTTAATATCAAACAAATCAGCTCACACACTACCACATTGACAAAAAATATGATTCTATTCTAATGTTAAATCTAATATTTATTCAAATATTAAATCTTTATTCATAGATGCACAAGTATTTGTCAGTTTGTCTAGTTTAAACCATTGATAGGCAACACACAAGGGGAAAAGAACAAATAGTGTGTGACTAATTTGCAAACAGATGTCTGACATGGCACAGAGTTCTTTGATATTAAGTGCTCATGAGAAACTCTCTCATTAACAAAGTCTTTTGATCGCGTCCTGCGAGGGATCCACTGGTCTCTTTGCAAGGTGACTTTAAAAGGTGTCTGTAAACAGATGCTGCATACAGTATTTGCAAATGGAGTAATAACCATTGAGGATAATGATATTTGACCTTTCCCTGTCTTAAAATTCTCTGTGATACCAAATGCTGCCAAGAAAAAGGGAGTGTGACACAGTTAAATACAGTACTTCAGTTGACAGGAAAGAAATCTCAGGTGCAAGTGATTTTATTTGACTTTGTAGCTGATAATGGCCTACCTGTTCAAATCTGTGAGCAATTGGTCTACATTTTTCGAATTGAGATATATTGCAGTTCAAATACTTGCTGGTGTATTAATCTTTGTAACATTTAATGGGAGCTTAGATAGTTTTGCTAAACTCAAACTAACACATTGTTACTTGCTCACCATTGTTTATTGTGGTTGTCTGAATAAAGAAAAATATTTTAGTAGCAGCTTTACAGTTATAATGAAACACTATTTTATTTCTATAACTTTTTATGGTTGAGTAGAAAAAAATAAATGTACTTATACAGTAGCTGAGATGTTCTGAAATTGTCTACTCTTATATTGTTATTGCCTGGTAGTCAGTAGGTAATTTATCCAAGTACTGTATCTCCTCTAGCTTTCTTGAAAGAAACCACTGTATCTGCTTCAGCAGAATGGCTGGGTATTGCAGCTTGTTCCATACTCCTGCCACCCATAAGGGAGAACAGAATTCTACCACTGAATCACCAGTGCTTGGTCCAATGTCTGGTTCCATACTGTGCATCACCCTGTTCAGCTTAGTAAACATCTCATATCCAGTTCGCTTTTGATTTCCAAAAACTGTCCGAAGGCTGTGCAACCCATATTAGTAAGGTGATTTTTTTTTCATACTTTTCATACCTTTGGGTATTCATTACCTAAGGTACTGCCCTTTGTTCTTAATCTGCTAGGGACTGAAAAACTGCTGTCCTAAATTTAGTTACCCTAATGGGAAAATACTGTAGCCATTAACATGGACAGTCTCTGCCTCCTTAAGGGCAATAGTATCCCACATCTAAGCTACAGACCTTACTGTCTGATCTCATCACATCTTAGAAGCTAAGCTGGACCTGGTCAACACTAGTACGGGAGACCTCCAAAGAACACCAGTTGTCACAGGAGCCGGTGGAGACTGTAAAATCCAGAAGTGACTGGAGAAGGGCTACAGGGAAAACATAAGGAATAGCGAACAGGGGGCGGTGCCTAAAGAGATCAGGCGCAAGGGGGGAGCGCAGGCAAACAAGTCCAAAACTGTCCAAGAGGGAAATCCGGGCGCAGTCCAAAATCCCAAACCGGGTGATCCATCCAAGACAAGACAAGACAAGGTTAAAATCCAGAATGGGATCCCGAGCAGGAATGGGGTTAAAAACAATGATGAGTCCAGGTGCTCCGAACCTCGGACTCAGCTTGGTCAGGACGCCAATCAGAAGCCTAAGCCTTCAAGCCGCGGACATTGGGCGACTTGATGCTAGGCGGGCCTCCACGTGTTCATCTTCCAATGCATGAACTCTGGACGGAACAAGGGGCAAGTGAACGTGATAATGAAACAAACGCAAAAGGTTCGGAGTGCCCTCTAGAGGAGAGATGACGATTGTGATACCAGTTTGCTGCTGCAAAGGATGTTGGCTGACTAGAAGGTGGTAATCTTCACTCTGGACCTGAATTTCCAAATGAAAATTATGGTGACTAGGAACACTGGGCTGTAGGTGGTGCATTTCCTTCAGAAGGGCTATTAAACCAAGGGACTGACTACTTAGTCACTGAAGAGCTCATGTCACTGTATGCAAGAATAGGGATGTTAATGCCAGTGGCCTTTCTAAAGCCTGCTATGGGCTTGAACATTGCCCTACCTAAACTTCTTCCTTAATTCAAATGTCGAAGCTATTTCTCACTTCTTCATCTGTCTGTATTGGGGCTGGTAGCACATGATGGTCACTGTGCATCGTACACATAAGTGCAGCACTTCAGTGGAATTATAAAGTGCAATTGTGATGTGACTTTATACCATATGCAATGTATCAGTACAGTGTATGAAGCACCAAGTATGTCGGAGCTGTGGCATGTAATTTACAGTGAAAGCATGTGCCTGAAAAACGCACAGGTAATGAAAAAGATTCCCTATTAGGGAGCCAGGGTAGTAAGATCAACTTATTATGCCCATGCATTCTTCTTAACAAAGGTTTTAAAAACTCAGAAATGGGATTTTCAATTGTTCAGAGTGAAAAAGCACTTGGTTCTAGTTCAGTCACCGGGAAATTAACTCAAGGCATGATCAATTCTGTGGTAGAGCTACATGTATACAGTATAATGGAAATATAATGATTGGTCTGGCAATTTTAAAAATTGTAGACACTTAAAAATACATTAATTTCTTTAGAACAGAATAATTTGGATTGTTCCAATCTCACTTTATACATACAAATTATATGACATTCCGTGAAGCATGAACAATTAAAGGGGGAAAAAACATTTTATTTAAATAGCTGCTTTTATATTTGACATTTCACACTGACAGAGAAGTCTCTTTTTGTATTTGGACTAGTAAATTATTAGGAACACCAATAAAAAAAAAACTTCTTTTGTTTTGTTTTGAAAAATACACTAGGCACATTTGCATCAAAAATGTGTCTTGCTTTTTAACAGCTGTCTGGTTTGTCAGTCAACCATTTTCCATTTCTATTGCCTTACCCCACGTACTGTAAATTATAGGATGAAATGTAGGGAAAAGTCTAATTTAGCAATTGAGAGAGCAGATTCTCAAACCATTATTAAGCTTTGAAAATACCAGTGGAAAATGAAAATACAAAAGATTTTAAATGAATGTGTCTCATAGTAAATTAGCATAACATTTCCCACAATTTCTAAATATACACTGTATTAAGCTATGCCACAGTGCTTCAGATTGCATTTTATATAAAGCTATGCAGTATTGTACATGTTGTTTATTGTACATAGTATAACACTCTGGGAGGACATGTTTTTTTTAGGAGTCTCTATAGGCAGTTTTTATGAACAAAACACTATTATGAAAACAAAGTCACTCATTTTTATGCAGGAAAAAAAATGGTCATATCCAATAATAGTCTGAGTTTTTTCACTTGGACCAAATCATATTCTCAGCCAGTCCAATTCAGAAGCCATTTCCAGTTCCTTCTCCAAAATATCTGCTTTCCAGAAAAAAAAGATATCCCTGTATAGTCTCTAAACTCTCTGTACTCTCCTAACAGCCTCCTTGACTCTTGCTTGCTAGTCAGTCTAAATACAAATGGTGGGTATTCCTTCTTGCAGGTGTTTCGGAAAATGCTCCAATTGCTTACTCTTTTCCAGATTTCTCTGACTTTCAGTTCCTTGTCTAGCCTGACTGAGTCTGATATACAGTACCCGTATTCTATTCTCCAGCCCCAGTACATTATAGTATACAGTATGGTTGACCAACAATTAAACATTTCATAGTGAACACATTTTGCCATTTGAATCACTGACAGCATTTGCTACCTTTGCTTTATTGTTCCATAGCATCAGACATTTGACGACAGCAGATTTGTTTCTATCAGAAAAAAATATTTAATTTTGCGGAATATCACTGCAAATGATAGGAATGATATAAAGTACCACAAGACCATTGTAAAAAAAAAAAGATGTGCCAACCAGAATTATTTCTTTTATCCTAAGGTTTTAAGATTGCATTTACATGGTTTAATTCCCAGATATTTTTTTTCTGTGCATAGCTAATAATTTAAACTTGTTTGTATCTCCTACAGGCTTTCATGTCAATGTTTCAAATCCTCACCCAAGAAGGCTGGGTTGATGTCATGGACCAAACACTTGTTGCAGTTGGACACATGTGGGCTCCAGTGGTTGCCATTTACTTTATACTGTACCATCTTTTTGCCACTCTGGTATGTTGTAGAATAAACATACTACTGATTATTTGCTTGTGATAGACCTCTTCATATCAGTTAGAAGTATGTCAGCTTTATTCATTCAGTAATTTTAGGGTGCTTGACGTCTGTCAGTGTGTGAACTTCAGTACTACAGTAAATCACATTAAAGCTTTTTTCATTATAGAAAAGGGTCATATCTATATTGTTTTGTGCTGCTTTCTGCACTTGGTTTGTATGCATCTCACAGATGTAATTTAATTTTAAGGCACGAGCATAACACTCTAGGGCATCGACTGTTAATTAGGAATTAGATGCTGCTTATTGGCGTATGGCACTTAAGTGAGCACATGGGTAATACATACCGCAGTGCTTCTCATGACATACTGAGCAGCAAATAGAATGTTTCTGGGTTAAAGACAAAACGCATTTGCCCCTTTATTTAAATACTTCCTCTGGAATTGTCTTCAAATCATTGAACAATAGGGTAAGCAAGAGATAGTGGTGCTGTAGGCGTACAGGAAGGTGATGTTTTAGCACACTTTCCTTTTCAAACAAAGGTTACAGAATTCCAATGAGATCCTGAACTGACAGTCATACATGTACAGTATTTGAAAAGTGATTTATGCATGATATACTTACATACAGCTGTGACGTCATTTTCATTAGATGTATGCACTGTATATGTATTTCATCTTTATGGCTGAGTAATAAATTAACATTATTATTCCTACTGGTAGTCACTACACTTTCACCTGGTATGTTGAATGCACTTACAGTATGCTATTGAAATGTAGCTGCATACTGTATATAATGTAAGTGTCTCTGGTTTTTGAATAGTATATCTGAACTTATGTTCTAAATATCAGTCTTCTGATATGTTATGCTCCAGTGTTTTTAATGCTCTTTTTCAGTTTAAACATCTCATATCCAGGGAGGTGATTGTTCTAACAGTGTGTTGCCGACTAGGAATGAGGTTGCTTTGGAATTTGGAATTTAGAGGAAGAGAATGTAATAGCGAGTCTTGCAGTACAGTATATGATCACAGTATTACAGTGGCACCATTACCCCTCCCCCTAAAGCCAAACAACCAGTTTTAATCCATGACACATGACATGTTGCAAATGAGTCTGAGACACCCGTCAGAGAGATTTGGAAGCATGTGATCACCAAAATAAGCCATATGGGGTCTGTCATTGGATGTTAGAGGATTTCAAAAGGCTGGACTCCTCCTGAGAGCCCATTGGATTGACTGTTAGCAAGCTCGTTATACATACTATGAGCATTATTACAGCTGAACATTTTATTATAACCAACATGTGCTAAATAAACATAGGCTTAATATGTAAAACATGAGATATGGATTCAGTATGTATAGTTGCAGGAGCACTTGTAAACTTGTAAACTATGAAAAGTCCCAGTCCTGGGTATAGACCTGTATTATTTACACAGGAGTGAGAGTAATAATTGCAGCATTGGGACTCTGCAGCTGCTAGAGGCACCCTAGCGGCCTGTATTAGAGACCATTCCTCTGAATCAAGAGCATAATCCACACCCACTGCTCCTCCAGCTGTTACAGTAATAATCCACCAGCAGCATTAACCCATCACTGATACAGTACTGTTACGTGGCTGACACTGAGTTTCCCCTTACAGTTCCTACATTTTGAAATAGTATGTGTCAATAATAAGGAAATAAACACGTAAATGTAATCGCAACAGAAGCAACACACAGTGAAGTACACAGACATAATAAAACACAATGACAAACGACATCCAGAGAGACTTTGCCTAAAAGAAAATATCTATTAGAAATCTGTTTCTGATCTAGACATGTAGAGGAAAGATGTCTGCTGGCAGTTCTGTATTCTCTTGAGACTGGAAATGGTAACAAAGAATTGGCTAATAGGAGGCATTAACATCACAAGGTTTGCATTATTAATTATCTAGGAAGGTCACAAAATTGTGACAGTCTGTTAGCCTTTTTCATAAAGTGCTCACTGAGTAATGCATAAACTCAGTGAATACAGCAATAAAAAGGGCTTTCATTATAATTAAAAAATGTTTGAAGTGTTTAAAGTTAAGTAGCATGTACGTCACAGTTTAATAAAAGGAGATTAAATGTTTCTAGGCTAGCAGTAGAATGTTTGCATCTGAATTTACTTAAGACAATTAAGGAATTATAACAATTGTTATTTTCACTTCACAGAAATATAGTATTTCTATGTATCCTGCATGTACAGTAGTAGTATTTACTACGAGTTAAACATAATAAAGACATTTGTCTTCTGCTGTTCAAATATCATTAAAACACATTTAATGTGTTAACTTTCAGCTTGGTTCATTCAGTTACTGGAGCAATTACACATTCAGCATGCTTTAGAAAATGGTGTATTCTATTCCAAGTGTTAAGTCCAAAAAGAGAAGAATATACTATCCTCTTTATTCTTTAGCTGTTGTTTTCATTCTTCCGGGTGGGATTGCTCTGCAGTAGATTGTTTATAACCAGCTAATGAATGTGGCAGGTGTGCAGGATTCTCGTTACTGAGAATTATTAATGCAGAGCAATATGAATGACTACTGGGAAATTAGATATCCTGATTCGCAGATTACCTGTACACCAAAGACTTATAATAAGAAGAGGTTTCTCTCAGTAAAAAAAAGTAATAAAAACTGTTCTTTAAATTGTTTTAATGTCTTCTAGTTGAATATATTCTTGCTGAAGCACATAAAAAAGCAGATTATTTGTTATTGGAAGCCTTAACAGTGAATGGAGGAGTTATGAATTCTGGTTTTCATATTAGGGAAAATGAAATTATCTCTTAAGTGTTTAGATTTTTTTTCTCTTGCTGTAATACAGCACACTACATAAAGTATAGTGCCTTCAAAAAGCTTTGGGACAGCAAAGTCCAAACTCTTACTATTACTTTAAAGTCAAGAAATGTGCATCTTTGATCATGAGATTATTATGAGTGGTATAGTAATTAAAACACTGTATATCGTTTGTCAAGGAACAAGTCAGGGCTTATTCCATGCTGAAAAGAGAAGAAAAGAAACAAAATTTTGGCTGTGGAGCCTTCTTCAGGAGTGTCAGGCTCCACAGCCACAGTTTCTTTTCTTCTCTTTTCAGCATGGAATAAACCCTGACTTGTTCCTTTGCAGCCTATGCGTGCTGGTGCAGCTACCTACTTGAATATATGTTTTGTGTTTGGGTAATTCCATGTTAATTTTGATATATGAATACAGAATTGTTAATCCTCATGTAAGAACTAATATATATACAGTATATACTATAGGTATATATTGCAATCACTTTAGAATAAAAACATACTGTACAGTATGTTGTGTTTAATCCGTTGATTTCCAGTGACCATAACTATTGGGACACATTCATTTTAAATAAATTAGCAGTGAAATGCCAGCCAGTATGGATAGAAGCATTTCCTTTTACATAAGCAAAAAATGTTTCTGCTACCTGCTGAATTCATTCTATTTGCTACAATCATTAGTTCATCATCAATTAAGACACTTGAGCTCTTTCTAGAGACAACCATGAATCTGACACCCATACTCAATGGTTGGCACTTCACCATACAGCATGACAATGACCCATAAGGCAGTGCAAACAAGATCATTAGTAGGAAAAACATTGAAGGTCTTAAACTGACCAAGTCAATCTTCAGATTTACAAAATAAACAGCATACATTGTGCCTTTTCTGTTAAACATGTGTGCATGTAATTACCCCCAAAAAACATATGTGATTACATATTTATCTTATAAATATCACAAATACAAATTATTTGACTGTAAAGACAAAATAGGTTTTCACTACTACAATAATTTTGGAGAGCCCTGTAAATTTATTTTCAGATAAAATGTATCAAAAACACTGCATTCATTAGCCAGTATAATGAGTCCTTTCAAAGTTAAGAATTTTAATTTAGAATTTCTTTTGGAAAGTGCGTCACCTGAAGAATAACCTTCTTTAAACAATAAAAGAATATAATCTGATTCAGCTGTCAAATGATTCATCCAACATCTTATTCCAATTTAATAGCTAAGATTGTTAGGCTGAGTGCATATCAGAAGAGGTTACGTATTTCAAAGCACAGTATGGTGAAAAATGCTTTCAATTATTCATTCATTTTAATTATTTATTATTGTATGTTCATACTTAAGTAACTTACATTTATTTTAATAAAATGCCTATTAATAACTCAAACTGACATTAAACTTAGTTATTTAGCTTGTATAATATTTAATAAGGGACTTGTTCTGGACAAGTCACATGATCAACACATGATCTTAATTTTTCCATTATATAATAATTATTTGTATATGATGCTGTAAATTTTTTGGCTTAATAACTATTTACTTTTTTATTTAGATTTTGCTGAGCTTGTTTGTTGCGGTAATTCTCGACAATCTGGAACTTGATGAAGATTTGAAGAAACTTAAACAGGTAGGTAACAGATTTTCTCTTTCATATTCAGACAGTCTGCATGTGAAGCGCAAGTGAATTTGATATGGAGAAAATGGAAATTTGGTGAATGGAGAAGTGCAAATTGTAACAATCTAATGTTTCTGTCTATATGAAACTGAAAAAAGTTGTTTTACTCATGCTGTACGTATATAACAACAAATTCTAACACTGTTGAGATGCTTGTAAATGTCATAAATGTAAATGCCTTATTTTTTATGTTGAAAATCAATAGAATAACATGCATTTTGCATTGAATTAGCAAAGTTTTTTCAACATTATCTTTCTAACTATGAATATTTCAAGCCTTCTTTCCAGAAAACTTTGCAGGAAATCTAAAACTAAAACAGAACTTCACAGTGGTGGTTACTGTACTTTTACTGAAACAGTTCAGCTCCCTTCCTTCTTAAAAACAAATGTGTGCATATTGTATAAAATGCACGGCTTCCAATTTGTTCTCATTGTGAAGCTTGCCTCTGGCTAATGGAAAATCAGTCTAGGGATAACAGAATAATTGTTTAATGGCTTTGATTTTTTTATTATGCAGTACTCTTTATTGCCCAACAAACACTATGCACAGATTCAGTGAGCCATAATTATTGGTGCATAACTCCAGCATCGTGTGCAGAATATAAATACGGATTGGGAACATTTAAATGCACAGGAGTTCATAAAATGTATTATGTGCAGTGATCAGAAGTGCAAAAAAGAAGGGATTTTTGTTCAGTTGTTTTGCATGTTGAGCTACTTTTCTAGGGCTGTGTTTGATCAGTTTCATATCCAACAGACAGCTTCTTCACTTCCTGACCTGCAGGCTTTCCATTTGTTTTTATTAAAATAGTTAAGCCATTAAACCAACATTTTTTTTAATTAAACAAGTCTGAATTGTTTCACCCTTCAAAAATTATATGTACGGAAATTTATACCATAATTATCTTAAAATGCAATGCTTATAATTAGAACCTAAAAGAGATGGTGTGTCCTGAGTATTAGGTTAAGGAAACATTGCTCTTGGCTGATATTTGCTGGCATTCTTTGTCAACTGTTCTCAATTAACAGACATTCGATAGAGAAATAAACTCAGGTATCAATTACCTGAGTGAGTGTTATATATAATTGATAGAAATCTATATGTAAAGTAAGAAGTTGTTATCATGGGAGTTTTTAATTTTCCTTTGTTAGATTGGGAAATTCTACAGGGATGCCAGTAGCTGAAACTGATATCAGACTTTTCTTAAAAAAATATCTTTCTTGAAATCTGTCTTATGGTCCTGCTGTCAAATTCTCTGCTGAATTTAGTTTACATCATTATAATTGCTGCAGTTCCTCAAACTTCACACTATCTTACAATGTGTTTTGGATTGCTTACAACATAAAATAATTTAGCAATTAGTTTTAGCACTTCATTTTTTATTGTTTTACTGTATTTGAATTTATTTTATTGTTCCTTGTTATACAATTGCTTATATACCTACAGTAGTATATGTATATGTATATATGTTTATAATATGTAAGGCAGGAACAAAAGCAATGATGATAATCTTCACCAATATTCAGTACTCCAACTGTAAGTAAATATGGTTCACTGTTAGTTTTCATAAATTTAAGGTCTTATGACTTTTCTCTCAAATTGCAACCTCAGCATTACCTTTTTGCCAAACTCTGACTCACGCAGTAATTAGTACCAGAAAATATCAGCTAACAGCTGCTATGATTGCACGTATTTGACAAAGAAGAATACAGATAGTTCCTCTATCAAACAGAAACAAACTGTACTTGAAAACTCACTGGATAGCTTATTCTGCATAACATGCAGAATCCATGTTATGCTCTTTTCTTAAAATATGTAGACCTGGTCTTAAGCAAAAACACAGATTCTGTTCAGTTTGAAGTTACCCAAAATGCTGTCCTGCTTCACACATTTCCTTAAGCCCAAATCAAATGCTCCCTATAATCAAATAAGTAGATGTATTGATCTGAATCTTAAGCTATAAAATTGCCTTTTAAGGTTCTTGGAACACAAAAATACATCTGCAGTATCATTTGATAGTAATGACAGCTATGAGGCTAAAATAAGGATTCAACTATGTTGTGTTTTTCCTATAGTATGCATACATTACATTGATCTGGTTTTCTGATGTACAGTAGCTCTCATTGCAGTATAGCTGGGCACCCCTGTTAATCTGTAGTGTATATGGTAAGTGGCAGACAATAGGCATTGTAGGTTCTATAAGGTCTTTCTTGTCTTAATGTCCGTTATTTTATAAATAACAATGCAATTAACAATGGCCTACAAGATAAGATATTCATGGCAATTGTGCTACAAGACAATTAAATACAGTTGATATTGTTTGAATGCAGTTTCTTAGATAATCTCAGATATATTCTGCATCTGCATCTCATTTGGTTGTTTTTTGGTGAGTCTGGTAGGGTCATACTGTAAGTAGTTTTTGTGGAATGTATTAACATAATTAATAGTATGAGCACATTTTCTCAATCCATTGAAAAAAATTAACCAAAATGATTTCAGTTAATATAAAATAATCGAATATCTAATTATTGCTCATGAGTAATCAATTTAAAATGTTTATTTGATCAAAATTGTTAAAAACTTCTCAACACTTTTTAACTGATCATATCAATCAACCCAGAATGTTTTCAAAATAGATGTATAGGGCTTGCATCTATTTACAATAATCCGTATACAGTATAAGATTTTTTTTCTGGACATATTTATAGCAAATGAAAAGGTCACTTATAGAAACTGTCCAAAAATACATGAATGCTCTTCATCTACAAGCCTCTTTATGATGTACAGTACCTTCCTCATAATGTTTTGGAACACTTTGTAGAAAGGAAGAAGTGATTGATAACTTTCTTCTATTATGCTTGCAGAACAGCTTTAATGTACAGTATGAAGGCTGGAAGAGAAAATAGCAAATGCTAAGATTTTGTTTGTTCTACTCATCTCAATTGTTAAGAGAGTTGGGAGTTTTCAAGACAGTAGCTTAAACTATGCAATTGTGAGACACGTGGAAATTATTTCATTTCATTGTCCAGATTTAAATCCCTGTGATTTTTTATGAGAGTACAGTAGCTGTAGAAAAGACCCAGTTTACAAGAATGAATAATGTACTGTTGTAGATCTGAAAAGTAAAAAAGGGATTCAGTAATAATATGACTGTAATGCAAAGACTAGGTTTGAACTACTGTTTATGTAGGATATGTGGTGATTTCTCAGGATTACATTATCTAAAACAGGTACTGTATCATTGCATGATTGCCCCGGTCAAAGATGATTAACAATAATCTGGGTTAGAATCTGGGACACCTCTCAAAGAGTAGATGATATTTTATCTTGAAACTCATGTTTTGTTGATTTGTACCAGTGTGTATTTACAGTTTCATTTGTGTATACAGCACTGTACAGTACTGTATATATTTATAAAAATAAATAGTTTATCATATCTTAAATAAACATACTGTAGGTATTCAGGCTCTTTTAGAAACACTGTTGAGGGCTACAGAACAGCTGGATTGTCATGTGGTTGGTACAGGATCATGAGGGACCCTTGCCAGGGTCTGTGTTAGACAGCTAGACAGCATGAATTCATGTTTGATGGATGCTTTTATTTTTAATGGTACATGCTGTAGCCTCTAAAGAGATCCTGGAGACAATGCATATACTCTATACATTCAAAATTAAAATGTGTTCTTTATTTTAGAAATCATCTGATTTTATTAGTGGATTTATGACTCATGGTTGGTGTACTGTATTAGAACATCAAAAGAATTGGGAGGTGGCTCAGCACTGCTGGGATTAGTCAATTAGTTCTCTGTCCTTCTCCAAGGAAAAGATGAGCCTTTGTAACTTTCCAGTCGCCTGCAGGTTTCTCGCCTGCTTTCTGAAGGACGCACCTTCCTTCAAATTGTTACTGAACCTCGAAAGTCAAAAGATAAAGGACTGGAAGGATAGGCAGATTGAAGGATCCAGCCTATAATTCCCCCATTCTGCCTATGCTGGTACAGAACAAGGACTGTTACTATAAGCCCTGATGGAAAGATACAATTGGTGATTCTGAATTGTTTGGGTATATAATCAAAATTAATGGGAGAATCTAAAATAAAAAGAGGATTTGAATTACCAGCTTGCCTTGTTTTTCCAGTGTGGACTTCAGAAACATCACATGCTTCTGAGATTGTGTCTGAAAAAAAAAATCATTTTGGATTATTTCCATCAAAACATCTTTCTTCTAAGAATATCTAAAAGACTTAGTAACCCCTTGGTATGGTAGACATTTCCGGTAGACAGTTTAAAGCTAAAAATGAGCATAACCCTCACAGATGTTCTCTATTTGTTATTGGGTTATTACTTTTAAAAAATAAACCAACGCAGAACCTAACTGTAAAGTTAAATAGCTTCTATTCTGGTTCTTTTGTGGACTTTTCCTTATTATGCCATTTAAATAAATCAATCAAATTCATAAATATTAAACATCAAATAACAAATCTCTATGTGTTAAATTATCTAATCAAATGTTTTAATCATATTAATTTAAGATATAGTGTTTTCCCTTCTACAATAGTGTTTCTAGAATCTAATTTTTCAGATTTAAATATGATCTGAGTTACTGTATTTAGCTGAATGTTTATCTGAAATACTAATTGAGAATATGAATTCTGACTTGCTTATAGAATTTCAATCTCCATTTTTTTAAGTGAAAGCAATGAAGAAGGTCAAAGTGAGAGGCACATTAGCTAAATTAACTGTTCATTTAATTAAAATGAAAGATTGCATGACAATGAAGTATGGAAGACTGGAAAGCTCTGAACTAGAGTAGTAAACTCCATATACAGAACAAGCTATTTGTACAGTAAATGTAATAGGTAATTTCTTTAAAAATGTACTCTAAGATGTTTGAAAATAAAATTGCATTTTTTCAAAATAATTAATAATGTTTTCTTACTGTGAGATATGCCAC